ACTTTGGGGCTTGATTTTTGATTTCCTGAAAGTAAATCTCTGAGCCATGAATTTTTCCCTTTAATTTATTTGGACAAGTTGGGCCTCAATTACCATTGAATTGGTTGAACAAGTTGGACCACAAAATTCATAATGGACAAGTCAAACAAAACGACTTGTCGTCTTGCAAATATATATATATTTTAAATAGTACCATCTTCAACCTCCAGCCGGGTCATTTCGACCCGATTGTGACCCGAATGGAAAACCCGATGATTTCTCATGATTCCAACTTCCAAAATTTGTGTATTTTATATCAAAATTCTCAGAATTCAATTTCCTAATGATTTATGACGTTATTTTTCATCAAAAACTTATCAAACATAAACTTGAAATCCAAGAAAACAATTCTGCAAAAACTTTGAAAAATGGCAGAGAGCAAATGAGCAAGGCAGAGGTAAAACGTGGCTCTGATACCAAATGTAAGCAATAATAGATGATTCTCTAATGCTTAATAATTACTTTATAACATAATCGAAAATTCTTAAACGCCAAGAAAACAGTACCTCCAGCCATTGTTGTTCCTCACAATTTTGATACGCTTTCTCAGTGATGTTTGGCACTTCCAAGCTCTACTCACTCTATTAGATGGTGTAAAACTGAAGGGAATTGAGTGATTGAGTCCGGGGACCAAACATAGTATTTATAGCCAAAATTGCCAAAATTTCCATCAAGTTTCGACGGTTACATTCCCACGTTTTACAGTTTATCGACAGTTCCAAACGGAGTGGATCATGGGGCAGTTTCATACGAACGTAGTGGACCACTTTCGATGAGAAACGGTCAACAATAAATTGCATGAGAAAGAATCTACCACTGGTGTCATCCCTATTTAAATACCAGAAATCTACCATTAAAAGGATTACCAATTAGTTCTAAGCAAGAACATGTCCCTCATTTAACCCCAAAAATTCATTTTTTTTCTCAAATTAATTTTAAACAATGAATTTATATGCAAGCAAAGAAACTTTTCTAGCGAATAAACATTCGCTATATATCAGAAGATAACTCACCAATTCGAAAATTTAATATTCTAACAGAAAAACACACAACATAACTTACTTTCAACAGAGTGAAAAAAGAAATTTCTTGATAACCACCAAAATTAGGCGTAAGTTCAAATCAATATTCAAGAAGTAAGAGACGGTTCGAGTCTTAGCTTATTGGAATACATCTTGCAAGAAAAGGTTAGAGCTGTGTTTATGAAACTCAATAATCAGCAGTTTTGGGCAGCTCTTTGAGTGAAGGGAAAGGGAAAGGGAAAGGGAAAGAAAAATTGAAAAGGAAAGTTTTAGGGAATTTGAGGCCTTGAGGTCATTGATCTCGCGCTTGAACTCCCCCACGTCCGTCATGCCGATCGCCTTGATGGATCCTTATTGTACATCATCTATACAGATGAGAGAGACGATATAAATTAAGGCAGAGGAATGCATGTACAACACTTACGCCCCGTTTGTTCTCCATTATTCTAAAATATTGTATGCTATAGTAAGATTCATCACCACACATTCATCTAATAAAATATTTTACACACAAACCAATAAAGTTACTTTAAATTTCAACCACACATTCTCCAAAAAATACTATTCATTACTCTATTTCTCTACCAATAATGGTAGACAAACAGGCTCTGAGTATTCTCATATACTCACACTTT